TGGGATCCCACTGGGAGCCTTCCTGGAAAGAGCTTGGCACGGGCTGGGAATTTGCTGCCCCAAATCCCAACCGAGAGGATTAAGCGCCGTTCACTTTTGCGGGGGCGGTGGGTCATCCAGGAAAAGGCAGGGGAGGCTGCTGGAAAGATGTTTGGTTTTATTATTATTATTATTATTATTATTAATTATTATTATTATTGCTGCTGGATCAGGGCTGAGCCAAGCTCCCTGGCAGGGCCAGGAGAGCGCTTGGTGCCCTCCCAGCCCTCTGAAAATCCCACTTTTGGCCAGATAATGCCAAAAAACCTCCTGCTACCCTCCCAAGTCAGAGGTTGTCCCACCTCCGAGAAGAAATCAGCCACCTGGATGGATGGACAGACAGACAGAGGAGGCTCAGCCTCCCTGCCGTGGCTGGAGGAGGGTGATGCTCGGTTCATGGCTGGTGGGGGGACCCAGAGCATGGGGGGGGGGGTGGGATCCCACTGGGAGCCTTCCTGGAAAGAGCTTGGCACCGGCTGGGAATTTGCTGCCCCAAATCCCAACCAAGAGGATTAAGCGCCGTTCGCTTTTGCGGGGGCGGTGGGTCATCCAGGAAAAGGCAGGGGAGGCTGCTGGAAAGATGTTTGGTTTTATTATTATTATTATTATTATTATTAATTATTATTATTATTGCTGCTGGATCAGGGCTGAGCCAAGCTCCCTGGCAGGGCCAGGAGAGCGCTTGGTGCCCTCCCAGCCCTCTGAAAATCCCACTTTTGGCCAGATAATGCCAAAAAACCTCCTGCTACCCTCCCAAGTCAGAGGTTGTCCCACCTCCGAGAAGAAATCAGCCACCTGGATGGATGGACAGACAGACAGAGGAGGCTCAGCCTCCCTGCCGTGGCTGGAGGAGGGTGATGCTCGGTTCATGGCTGGTGGGGGGACCCAGAGCATCACAACCCTCTAGCCCCAAAGGGACCAGGCTGCTCTCCAGCCCCACGGGAGACCCACTGATGGCTTGTGGGGGGCTGTCTGCCCCACGGAGAGCCCTCACCCCATGCTGGAGGTTGGCCAGAAGGGAGAGGGAAGATTGGCAGAAGCGGCTTTGGCTTTGAAGGGGGATCATACCTGATGAGGATCAGCCCGAGCTCCTCTAATCTCCCACCAGGAAAGGGATAGCAGGGCAGCAGGCGCCGGCCACGCTGAGCCCTCCAGCCACCCTGGGCTTTTAAAAATCAACGAAACATCAAGAAAACATCAATAAATCATCAATAAATCATCAATACAGCATCCCGTGGGCGAGCGGGATCCTACCGGGAGGGAGATGGGAGGAAGACTCAGTCCTTCGGTTCATCCCCACCTGTAACCAGCCGAACCCAGCCCGGACCCTCTCCCCACACCCCCCCCCTTA